GGTACAGTTATAAATATTTCATAGATGTAACAGAACATCTTATGGGATTGGTTTCCTGGCTTTGAAGGATTATGACAATAGTCTTGTGGGACATTCTTGTCAATAGACATCATAGTTCATAAGTTTGTGTTCTATACCTTAGTTTTGTATGTAATATCTGGGAATTTAAAAGCTTGCAAGCAGTCATTTAAGAAACAACTGTTGTTATCTACTCATCTCCAGCAAAAGAAAAGAAGGCTCTAGAATCTTTCTGGATGGCTAGCAAGGATGGAAATGGAAAGAGAGGGGAGTAAACATTAATAAATAGAAAACAGGTAGGTGAAAGGAAAGGTAATATGCAATAAACAATCAGGCATTATGGGTATTGTGATTAAAGTCATAGAACAAAATAAATAATTGGATGAAAAACCAATATGCTTCATAAATTTTCACTCAAACAACGTTTTAAAATTGTATATACAAAAAAGAATTAAACCAAAGACTCAAAGAATAAACTGCTGTTGTTGTTGTGTGCCAGAAAGTCAGAACTGAGTGGTTTTGCAGAGGAAGTAAATAACACAGGAAGAGACTGCCTAGTCTTCTCCCATAAGAAGAAACTAGCCTATAGTAAAAAATAATCTGTACTACCCGCAGTCCTATCAAACCTGAAAATAGAAGAACAAGACAGTATTTGACTACTGTTCTGATTAGAAGATTACAAGAGTTGGATGCTAATAAAATCAGGGGGAAAACGGAACAGACTTCAAATTCTTCAAAGAACATAAATACTAGACTACTAGGGCATGAAGATTCACTAAGACTAAAGTCCTGAGCTCCTCTTTAAACTTTGAAACTAGCTAGCATTTAAGGTCATCTTTCAGTTAAGTAACAGACTAGTTAACAAAACAAAGAATATCATCCCTGTGTACTATGATCATTTGAGAAGTCATGACCAAATGATCAACAATTATTTTTAAATAAAGATATGAGAATGGAAGAGGCAGAGCAGCTATACTAATGGACATGGAACCAACAACAAAATATAAAGAAGAATAAAAAAATATAAAGAAGAATCACTCATTATAAAGAATACAACTAACGTCACTGAACAATTTCTATAGAAATTTCTGAATGGAAATAAAACTATTGTGTAAACCTTCACTGACAACAAAATATAATGCTACTGGGAAAATGTTATATGTTTACAGAGTACCCTTCAAAAATCTTGACAAAAGTGAGATTAGACAAGGAGTCTCATCTTGGGAACAGAGGGTTCACTTCTCAACTTTTCATGCCAGATCCTGGCCACCTGAAAAATGCAATCAGGTGTGAACAACTGGGCACTGCAAACTTCCTAAGTGTTCAGACGTATTTATCTTGAGTCAGATACATGTTTGAGTTTTTCAAAGAAGACAAGTTCTACTGTTAGGAATTATTTTTCTTGTCCACAATTGCACATCCAAATTCTCTTAAAGTGAGGGGCCTATGTCCACATCAAACCATAGAGTTGGAGAAAAAGATAGATTGAAAGACTTAACATGAGGATGAAAAGGATCTCTTTTCCTCACAGGTAACAATGAGGTATTCAGAAGGAACAATGGCAATGGCTTTCTCTGGACCAAAAAATTAAGCTTAACTAGAACCAAAATTGCACTTCTAGAGAACAAAGTTTGATCTTCATACTTCCATGAAAAAAGTAAATCATGTTGGTCAAGACATTCTGGAATTTGGATTACTAACAAACTCTCTGCCAAAACCAAACCAGAGATCTAATTTTTCTAGTCAAGAGAAAGCTAAATCAAAACTTACTGAGCAAAGGATGATTAGTGCAGGCAGCACTTCAGACATACAAGAGGTTACAGCCTTTCTATGGAGAGTAGTTTTGATGATAAAGCAATAGAGAGAGCAAGCACCCCTTTACTGAGCCCAGGAATTGAACACTGTGCATCAAAGCTGATCTGGATCTTCTCGGCCAGAGAGAAGCAAAGCAAGAAAAATGTCCACTGAGCTCAAGCAGTTACCTGAGAGAACAACAACATAAAAGCGGAATGAAACAGGAGCAAGAACACTAGCTGGGGGTCAAGTTCTGTGTTGTTGGAAACAGCAGGCCAGTAAACACCTTCGCTTCATTCACGCTGTGCAAAGACTGTCAGAGAATAAGCCACATGTTCAACTAAATGTTGAAGTTTCAGCATTTAGTCTGGGAACCGTACAAGGTTCTGGTTAAAAGCAGACTTCTTTCTGTGCATTCATGTTCAAGCCAAGACACTGAGCTTAGCCAAGAACCTGAAACACTGCAGGAGTTGTGCAGGACACAGCGCTCTCTGCTGGATGCAGGTCCTCTTATCTCTTCACTGTAACTGCTGCCAACCTGAACTTCGAGGAAACAGTTTGATGATACCAGATGTGACTTCAGAGCATGTCCAGGAGTGAGTGTGTCAGAAGTGGTGGATTTCTAATAAAGGCAATCTCAGGAGATGGCTGCCCACATGCCTGGTTTGACTGACCATCTTGTGCCAGCCTGCAGCAGATAATGACGGCCATCTTTATAAAGGATGAAGGACTTTTTGGTAAAAATATTCCAACCTATTGCTTAGTTCTGTCCTAATGCTGACAGGTGACTCTGGAGAGCTATTTTGTTCAGTAGCTACCTTTTTCTCAGCTTGCAGCTCATTAGTAAGACACTGAAGTCAGGATTTGAGGAGATACACAGAAGCATTCTTGTTCCAGAGAAAAGAAAGCAAAGAACCTTGTTCTGCCTAGTGTGTTTTTCTATGATTTATAAACTCTTCTAGGGGGAAGTGCTGCATCACTGTCCAGTTACACTCACTCCTAAACTCATCTCTAGGAGTAATCATCAGCTTATTAAACTTTCTTGATAAACTTTGAATATAGTCTGCATTGTTGGTATTGCTTTCTTCATGAAAATGAAAAGAGATTTTAGATAGTCTACAACATTTTTATTTGATATCACCAGCATGTGCTAGGCAATTCTATTTGCAATTACTGTCCTGTCACTTCTTATAAAAAAACCTGATGTCTTCGCAGGTGAGTTCTCTCTAGAGAAGCTAGGAAAGACCTGAGTTATCCATGTTATGGGATGACTCCACTAAACATTCTGATCCAGCTCTCTCCTCTCTGCTCTAATGATGCTGAAAGTGTAGAAGTAAAAGTGTATAAGTAGAAGCAGTGCAAGATATTACGTCAACCAGGAGTGCCTTTCTGTTCAAGAAGTCAAATATAGTTAAAATAGGGATTTGTGTTCATTTTGGGGGATTCCTATAGTCACTGGGTTCATTTTTTTTTTAATTCATTCAGAGGTTAAATAGAAAGCCTAAGCCATTTGTATTGCTCAATATAATGATTTTAAACAATAATTTAAAAATTAAAATAGACTATCTAATTTACATATAGAAGACAAATTTCCATATATACCTTATAAACTGGCAAATATTTTGATAGATATACATTGTACATAATTTATGTACGATATCTATTTCATGGTCTATTATTTAATTTCGTAAATTATAGGGCCTTTAGTTTTTAAAAGGTTGCAATTAGTCATAAAAATAAGTGCATGACCTTATTTCTTTTCTCTTTTGTAACTGTTTACTTCCCTAATAAACCCAATAATCATAAAGAACAAAAAATAATACACAACCATACGACCAAAAGGTAATAATATAAATCAGGGGAAACTTATGAAAACTAGATAAAAAGGCCTAAATAAATTCTGAACAAAACCCTGCCCTCCCTTGTTGATATGGTTCTTTTCCAAAAACCAAGACATTCGGTGAAATTGTTGTTATGTGAAAATGGATTATAAATTGAAAGACAACTATATCGTTAGAAAACCAACAAATTAATTATCAAGTAATTGCCAAACCACTGAGAACCACGAAACAGCCAAGCTAACACATAACCTTAACCATGAAAGCCAGAATTACTCTTATCTCACCTTTCACTAACTGACATATATCATTAAAGAAGAAAAGAGACAGCAGCTTTTTTTACTCTTGTCATAGGGTGAAATGTTACATGATGAGATAGTTGATAACTGAAGACAAGGTATATTCCAACCCAGACCAGTGTTTCTGTTCTTTTGGCTGTTTTCATGGGAATTCTTTTTTTTTTTAAATTCCCCCAGCCCTTTCATGGGAATTCTTAATTATGCCTGTCTTAGTTGGATTGTCATCATACCTAACTACAAATCATCACTATGAAAAGGTACTGCATGTCTGCTTTGTGCCAGGCATTACACGCCCACCCAAATGAAAGGCAACTCCCAGCTTCCCAGCTTGTTATAAGGGTGACTTCTAAGCAGATGGAGGCTTAGAAGGAGTACAATGTCATTACCAGATGACCAATAGAAGCACAAGCTAGAAGAGGGTTCAGATCTGTTCTTCATAGTGTTGTTAAGCGTTATACTCTGCTCGACAGCACTTAACACCACCACCACCACAACCACTCTTGTTTTCTCTTCAATATTGTACGGGCCTCAATGACAAGAATCCTACCATCTAATTTAAAATTTAGAAATGTATGAGAGGGACATGTCCTTCAGCCAAGAAAAACTTCAGAAACTATATGCCTAAATAAATTTAGTTTGATAATCCTCTAGAGAAGTTAATCAAGATTATTTTCTTTGTACTAGAGTCAACTCACAGTTTATAAAAGGAAAGGGGTTTTCCAAATATACGGAAGCACTCAGTTTCCAAATGTCACTAATGAGTATTATATAGTCCTATTATTTAAATATAGAGCAAGGGGAAAGATATTGTTACAAAAGAAATACTGGTCAAAGGCCTCCACCCCAGCCATATGTCGTTCAAACAAAATGAAAGCACTTTTCAGCCTGCAGTATTCTAATTTTAAGTTCAGATAATAGTTTATATTCACCATTAACTATTACTCTCACCAGGATTTAAAAATTATAATTATGCAACAAAACATTAAGAAAATTTAATCACATTAGCATGCCATAATTTAAGAGAGTCCTTTCAATCTCAAACATCACTTACCTCATACTTTAGCTTACGTCGAATGATGCCATTATGAAGTTTCTCATTATCCTGAAAGGAAAATAAAATGCATTTATATTAAATTATATAACTATTTTCATGGAACAAAAACTGATTTGATTAGAAATATTTATGAGAACAAAGTTCTAAAGAAACATACTTATCATTCAACAATGAATGCTTGTGTAGAATTTCCATTTCTTAATTTGACTATTAATCCATCTGCTTATAAGGTAACTGAACGAACCATTTATTCTTAATCTTAAAACTCTAAATAAATATATATTTAAGCAACCAGTCGCTCCCTGCAACATGCCCAAAGTATGTCAGACGAAGCTTCAGAATCCTTGACTCCAAGGAGTATTCCTGCTTCACCTTCTCCAAGACAAATCTGTTTGTTCTCCTAGCAGTCCATGGAATATTCAACACTCTTCTCCAGCACCACAGTGCAAAGGCATCAATTCTCTTTCTATCATCCCTATTCACTGTCTAACTCTCTGATGCATAGCACGTATTTGTGAAGACTATAGCCTGGATCAGGCACACCTTAGTCTCTAGCCTGACGTCATTGCACTTCAGTACTCTTGAGAGGTCCCTCACAGCTGACTTTGCCAATGCAATTCATCTCTTGATTTCCTGGCTGCTGTTACCATAAGTGTTGACTGTAGAGCCAAGTAAACTAAAACTGTTAACTAACTCAATCTCTTCACCATTCATACTGATGCTGCCAATTGGCCCAGCAGTGAGAATCTTTGTTTTCTTGATGTTGAGCTTTAATCCATGTAGGAGGCTGTAGTCCTTGACCTTCTGCAGCAAGGGCTTCAGGTCCTCCTCAGTTTCAGCAAGCAGGGTTGTGTAATCTGCATAACACAGGCTGTTGATGACTCTTCCACCAATCCTGATGCCACACTCCTCCTCTTACAGCTTAGCGTCTCAGATGATCTGTTCTGTATACACATTGAAAAGGTATGGAGACAAAATACATTCCTGACAGACCTCCTTCTTGATTTTGAACCATGTAGTGTCTCCTTGCTCTGATCTGACGACTGCCTCTTGGTCCAAGTATAGGTTTTGCATTAGCACAATCAAATGTTTTGGGATTCCCATTCTTCTCAGAGTCAGCCACAGCTTCTTGTGATCCACACAGTCAAAAGCATTTGCATAGTCAATGAAGCACAGATAGACATTCTTCTGGTATTCTTTGCTTTCTGCCAAGATCCATCTAACATTAGCTATAACAGCCCTAGTTCCACGACCTCTTCTAAATATTGTTCCAAACATTTTTGGATAATTTTCAGCAGAATCTTGATTGCA